GGCTGCTCCAGGGACTTTCTGGTCGTCGCTCCTCCGCGGGGGCCTGCGGCTGCGCCAGCCCCGGCACCTGGCTTTCCAAGGGCTCCATTGGCAACTCGGCCCCGGCTTGGTCTCCTCTGGATGCCGCCCGGGCTCCCTCCATCCCGAGCGCGGAGCCACCGAGACGCACGGTGCAGCTCACCTGGGCCCAGGTAGGGGTCCGTTTCGCCTCCCGGGTCGGGATTGGTCCAGCTGAGCGGCTGAAGTTGTCGAACCACGCCCCTCCCCGGGTTGCCCCACCCTCCAACCAGCTCCCCTCGGGGATTGGCTGCAGTTGGGTTGGCCACGCCCCTCCAGGCCCCCGGCCCTTCCTTCGCCAGGCAGCGGGGAGTGCGGGGCGGAAGGGCCTGGGTGTGCGGTTTTCCGGGGAAGGCCTGGCAGCAGCTTTCAGGGAGAACCCAGAGCCCCGCCTGCCTCTTCGCTCTTCTTTGTGCTGAGTCCCACGCACTTCCTCTCCCACCCCAGCCCTCAGCCTCCGGCGGATTTGGAAAGTTACAACTTGGGCGGGGAGGGTTGGTCAAGTCTTGCAGAGATCCGCAGACCTCAGAAAAACCAGGGGCTCCAAAAGAAATGGGGCGAAAGAACAGGAATAAAGAAAAAGAAAGAAATGGGGCGGCCTGCGGAAAAGCAGCCGAGCGGGTTGCCCCGACAATGTAGTGAGAGGAGGGGCGCCGCACCTGAGAGGACTCCCCGACACCCTCCCGCACGGTCCCAGGGACAGCTACTCTGGGGGCCTGACTCCTGCTAGCTCGCCCCTTAAAGACTGAGGAATGAAAATGTGTCTTTTCTTTATATATATAATTGATTTTTTTACAGAGAGGAAGGGAGAGGGATAGAGCGTTAGAAACATTGATGAGAGAGAAACATCGATCAGCTGCCTCCTGCACTCTCCCTACTGGGTATGTGCCCGCAACCAAGGTACATGCCCTTGACCGGAATCGAACCTGGGACCCTTGAGTCCGCAGGACGACGCTCTATCCACTGAGCCAAACCGGTCAGGGCAAAATGTGTCTTTTCATGGTGGCAGGAGCTGGTCCCCTGCCAGCCTGGTGAAACGGAATTCTTGGACTGGAACCCGGATTCTTTGTCCGCCAAAGTCGAAGAATGAACCCAGGGACAGAGAGTAGTATAGCAAAGGTGGAGATTTATTGAAGAACAAGTACAGACTCCCACATGGGGAGGGGGAAAGGGTCCCACTGAATTCCTTTTTCCTATGGCTTATGAAGGCTGCAGATCCTGGTGCCTTGGTATCCCCTCTGATTGGTCACTTATTCCCTTAGACTGGTTACTATAGTAACTCCTGAACTCAAAGGTCAAACACCACAAGGGACGTGTGATACCCTCCTCCCTCATTGTTCTTTTCTTTCTGGCTTTCTTCCTTCTTCTTTATTTTGTAAATATTATAGACCTTTTTAGCTACTTCCAGCTCCCTTGTTTATGTAAATGTAACTGTTGCTGCTCCCTGCACCTTGCTTCCTTGTGTTATGGAGATGTACCTTCTCCCAATCTGTAGCCCTGTGTTTTTCCATGGTCCCCGATTCTAAAAATTCCCTTCGCCTGCATATATTCCCCTAAAATTCCTGTTTCTCTGGTGTGCTGGAATACAGGTTTCCCAACCCTGCCAGTGAGCTGAACGCCATTAAAAAAATAATAACAAATTCCTGGCTGGGCTCCACCTAGTCCTACTGAATCTCACAAGGGGATGAGGTCAGTGGTATTTTTATCAAGTGCCCCAGGGTAGAATTGGCAGATAAAATGCAAGCCAATCTGCTAAATCTAAATTTCAGATAAACAAGAGGGTGTGTGTGTGTGTTTATA